CACAGGCCCTAATGGAGTTCCAGGTCAAGGCAGTAATCATGGAGCAGGCAGTAACCATAATAGACTCCACATAGTGGGGGTCCTGAATAGTGAGAGAGGGAAAACGAACAGGGATGGGACAGTGGTCCCACAGGGTGCCCACCTTGCCACACTCACAGAACCTGCTGGTGACCACAGTATTCCTACCCTCCCGTTCAGGGAGAAGTGGTGGAGGTGCTGACAGCCAGGGCGCAAGGGCACAAGGTAAACCAGTGAGGCAGGATGTGGATTGGGTTATAGACCACGGTTTCACAGGGGCTCCCCTCACCAAAACCAGCCGAGAGAGGACAGCAATGACATGGGTAAGGAAAACCAAGGCAATGAAACCAGGGTCAGCAGATACCTCAATCTCGACACAGCCACAGCTTCAAGTACTGGCCCTGATGCCCAGAATGCCCCACACCACAAGATGGCAGAGACAACAGTGGAGGATTCATCCACTCCTGAGGCTGAGCAGAGTGGGGCTGAGTAAATGTGGGCTTATCATCTCCCCCACCATTCAATTTAGTCATCCAACAAGAATAAAATGATATGAAATTCCAGCAACAAGAAATGAGCAAAATATTGGAACCGAAGACCTTAAGTGCTTGCTTTTTGCCCACTGACCAGATAACTAGAACTATTTGTATTATCTATGCAGCAAGGAGTTTTTTTGTTATTTTTACCTCAAGATGTCTCTTTTTGACAATGACAGGCGTTATTTTTGAAAAGCCTGGTTTTCTCAATACACCTTTAAAGATTTTTAAATTGTTTTATATCTGGTCAAGTTGAGATGTTTAAGAACTTCATTTTTAATTTGGAGAAAACGTTTACAACTTGATTTTTCCAAAAGGCAAGGACCTATTAACAAAGGTCTTAAATAATTTGTCAGAAAGAAAGAAAGTCCAAAAGAAAGGAGTAAGCAAATTTGTCTACTTACCATTTAGTTTCCCCATTGGTCAATATGGAAGGCAAATAGGACCTTAAAATGGGCTATTTTCTTTGAAAGCTATATACGCTTTTTTCTTTAACTATTTTATTATTTGTCTTTGACATTACAATTTTGCTATGATATGTTGAGCTGTGGACTTTTTGATGTGACCTTCTTGAGATTAAATATGTTTCCTGAAACCGTTTAATTTCATTAGTGTTAGATAAGTACATTATCTCTTTAAATATTGCCTCTTTTCCAATATTCTCCCTTTCACCTTCTGAAATTCTCACTAGATATCTGTAGACCTTCTCATTCTATCCTCATGGCTCTTGTTCTCTCATTTTTCCATCTCTTTACCTCTCTGGATTTCATTATGTATACTTTCCTTAAATTTATTTCAGTTCATTAATCTTCTTTAAAGCTAGGTCTAATTGGCAGTTAAATCTGTTAAATATAATCATTAAATTTTGACTATTATACTTTTCATTTCTAAAATTTTGACTTGGTTCTCTGTCAAATCTGCTTAAATCATTTAAAGCATCAAATTTCTTTGTTATTTTCTAAGTTCTTCTATTAATTAAGCATATTAAACCTAATCATAATCTGAGTCTATTAATACCGATACAGGAATGCTTTGGTTTATCGTGCTTTGCTTCAATGCACTTTGCAGATATTGCATTAAAAAGAAAATAAATTGGAGATATGTGGCAACCCTGCATCAAGCAAATCTATCAGTGCTATTTTTTCCAACGACATTTGCTCACATCCGCTCTCTGTCACATGTTTGGTTATTCTCATTGGATTTCAGTACAGTGAGAATAATCACAAATGTATTGCATTCATCATCACCGTTATATCTGTTATGGTGATCTGTGATCAGTGATGTACCATGTTACTATTGTAATTGTTTTGGAGCACCACAAACCACACCCATGTAAGATGGTGAACTTAATAATGTTGTGTGTGTTCCGACTCCTCCACTGACCAGCCATTTCCCCCTCTCTCCCTCTCCTCAGGCTTCCCTATTCCCTGAGACACAATGATACTAAAATTAGGCCAATCAATAATCCTACAATGACCTCTAATTGATCAAATGAAAGGAAGAGTCACACATCCCCCACTTTAAATCAAAAGCTAAAAATGATTAAGCCTAGTAAGGAAGGCTTGTTGAAAGCTGAGTTAGGCTGAAAGTTAGGCTTTTGCTCTAAACAGTTGGCAAAGTTGTGAATGCAAAGGAAAAGTTCTGGAAGAAAATTAAAACTGCCTCTCCTGTGAACATATCAATGATAAAAAAGGAAAACAGCCTTATCACTGACATACAGAAAGTCTGAGTGGTTTGGATAGAAGATCAAATCAGCCACTACATTCCCTTAAGCCAAAACCTAATTCAGAGCAAGTCTCTAATGCTCTAAAATTCTATGAAGGCTGAGAGAAGTAAGGAAACTACAGAAGAAAAGTTAAAACCAGCAGAAGCTGGTTCATGAGGTTTAAGGAAAGAAGCCATCTGGATAACATAAATGTGCAAAGTAAAGCAGCAAGTGCTGATGTAGGAGTTGCAGCAAGTCATCTAGAAGATCAACCTAAGATAGTAGATGAAGGTGGCTACACTAAACAACACATTTTCAACCTAGATGAAAAAGCATTATACTGGAAAAAGATGCCATCTAGGACTTTCATACCTAGAGAGGAGAAGTCAGTGCCTGGCTTCAAATCTTCGAAAGACTTGCTGACTGTCTTGTTAGGGGCTAATGCAGCTGCAGCTGGTAATTTTAAGTTGAAACCAATACTCATTTGCCATTCCCAAAATCCTATGCTCCTTCAGAATTATGCCAGATCTACTCTGTCTGTGCTCTGTGAATGGAACAACAAAGCTTGGATGGCAGCACATATGTATATAGCATGGTTTACTAAATATTTTAAGCCCATTGTTGATACCTACTGCTCAGAAAATAAGATTCCTTTCAGAATATTACTGTTCATTGACAAGGCACCTGGTCACCTGGAATGGAGGTGTACACAGAGATTAATGTTCATGCCTATTAATACAACACTCATTCTTCAGTTCATGGATCAAAGAGTAATTTCAAATTTTATGTCTAATTATTTAAGAAATACTTCTCATAAGGCTATAGCTGTCATAGATAGTGATCCTTCTGAAGAGTCTGGGGAACGTTAATTGAACACCTTCTGGAAAGAATTCACCATTCTAGATACCATTAAAAATATTTATGATTCATGGGAGGAGGTCAAAATATCAACATTAACAGGAGCTTGAAAGAAGTTCATTCCAACCCTCATGGATGACTTTGAGGGGTTCAAGACTTCAGTGAAGGAAATAATAGCATATATGGTGGAAATAGTAAGGGAACTGAAATTAGAAGTGAAGCCTGAAGATGTGATTGAATTGCCACAATCTCATGATAAAACTTGAATGGACAAGGAATTACTTCTTATGGACGAGCAAAGAAAGTAGTTTCTTGAGATGAAATCTACTCCTGGTGAGAACATTACGAGCATTGTTGAAATGACAATGAAGGCTTTAGAATATTACATAGACTTGGTTGATAAAGCAGCAGCAGGGATTTTAGAGGATTGACTTCAATTTTGAAAGAAGTCTTATTGTGGGTAAAATGCTATAAACAGCATTGCTTGCTATAGAGAAATCTTTTGTGGAAGGAAGTCAATCAAAGTGGCAACGTCATTATTGTCTTATTTTAAGAAATTGTCACAACTACCCTAACTGTCAGCAACCACTATCCTGATTGGTCAACAGTCAACAGCATTGGGGTATGACCGTTCACTAGCAAAAAAGACTCACAGATGGCTCAGGTTATCATTAGCAATATTTAGCAATAAAGCCTTTTAAAATTAAGGTATGCACATTGTGTTTTTAGACATAATGCTTTTGCACATTTAATAGGCTACAGATTGTGAAAACAAAAATTTTATATGCACTGGAAAACCAAAAATTTTATATATAATTCCAATATTTGCTTCCTTACTGGGGTCTGGAATTGAAACTGCAATGTCTCCGAGGTATGCATGTATCTGAAATCACTGTCTTGTTTTTTCAGGCTTTCCATATACTGTTTCTGTATATGGCTTCATAATTCCCCCTCAATGTATGAGCATTTCCCCCCATTATTCATTTTATCTGTGAGACCTCCCTGAGGTCTTGAATACAGGTGAGTTCCTCCAGAGAGGATTTGTTTCTTCTTGCCAGGTATCTCTGGCACAACCAACCTGGATTTAAATTAATACTCAGTTTTCTATCTGAGGTTTTCCAGATCATACAAACAGTGTGAGTTCAGGCTACAAAGTACGTGAGAGCATATAAACTGTGTGAGGATGTATGAATTCTTATAGAATTTTTTCTCTTCCACTCAGAATCAAGGACTGAGACAAGCAATTTTCCTTGTCATCCCCTGAGGCTTATTCCTACTTTATCCTTACTCCGAGGATGTAACTATTTGGGATCTTAACTTAATGTGGATTGGGATCACGGGAGTCTCCAATTATACTTCCCATTTTGGATGGATCCACTGGACTTCCCAGGGCTGATTAGCTAACGGCCAAGTTCACCTAATCTAGCAAATGCCTGCATGGGGTCACATCTGTCTGATGCCCATTGTGGCCTATTAGGTTCTTTACTTTTTGCCAACCCATCGATGCCTTTGGAAACATATTTAAATGATTTAGTCAGCATTCTAAACTTACTTTAGGCAAGAAAGTCATTATCAGGGTTTCTAGTCTGCTAAACAGCTGGATACAAAGGACACAGAATTCTCTTTACCACGCAGCTCCAGGGATATGCTAACATCCTGCAGTACCCACAGGCATGCTCACTAGAACACTGGTCCTTGGTGCAGCCACATGCCTGTGACTATATCAGTGATCATGAGTGAAGGTGAAACTACACTAAAAAGTAGACTTTTAGCTTTAGAGAGTTGCCTAAGGAACTGAAGATGGGTCATTAACCCAGGCATGAGCCAGAACCAGCATTTTGTATTCAGTTCCTTATGTTTCAGCATGTGAACTGAGTGGAGACATTCCCATCAAGGTCAGAAAAACTCCTACACTTTGATCTACCAATTAACAGAAGAAAATCTGATATATTATCTGGATTCCTGGGATAGCATATTTCTAGCCACATCCAATTTGAGTATTTTGCAGTCTCCTCTATCTAAAGTACCCTGGAATATTGTTATTTTTTTTTCCACTGGGACCTGCTCCAGGAAGCAGGTTTCAGATGCCATGAACACTCTTGAGGCTTGAGCCCAATCCCCTGACTGAGAATACAGTTCTGGATTTCTCAACATCAGTGTGAATGCATTTTGGAGACTTCGTGATATCCCACAGGGGAACAAACTGAAAAGCAACTGTGTCCTGGAGTAAAACAGCTCCAACAAGGGCTGAGGTTAGATATACTTTTGAGAAACAAGACCAGCTCTGGTATAACACCAAAAGACTGACATTAGTCACATAACTCTAAGACCGGAACAGCCAATCATGGCCTGAATGATGGAGAAATGCTTTGTCTTTCACAACATGGAAGGGGTACAAAAGCACTCCATCATTAAATGAAGTGAAGGCAACACAGAGGGCTACCCAGCCCACCCAACATTTAGGCCATGCACCCACTAGAGTTGGATGAAGCAAGATGGATTAGGCATAAGTGTGGGCCAGAAGTCATGGCATTCCATGGGAGAGAAGACCTGGTACCTTGGCTGTTCCAACTGTCCCACTCATTACTGACGATAAACATTCAGTGCTGATCACTCTGTCCTAACAATAACAATAGTAGTTGAACCATCCTGTATGCTACTATACATCTATAGTACTGTTCTGAGCACAAATAATCTTCATTACAACCCTATATGGTGGTATTATTAGTTCCCTCATTTTATAGATAAGGAAACTGTCTCACAAAGGGCTTAAGAAACTTATTCAAGGTTATACAGCTGGTAAGTAGCAGAGTTCATACTAGATCTCAGGCAATCTGGCTCTCAAGCCCGTGCACACCATTGCTACACTATATTGCTGTGCACAGTGCAGGGATGTTGTTGTGGTACTTAACACTCAGTGGAAGGTAAGTCTGTAGGTCAGTTTAAATAGTTAAGCAATTACACTAAGAATTTATATTTACAGAACATGTGGATGAGGTTCAATTCTATAAATACAAGATAAAGCACTGGTGGAGAAACAAACATTGTTATAAACTATTTGGCTTCATCTGATTTGCAAACTACCACTAATAAGGAATCTAGGGTAAGAAAATATAGGTTCACTGGCACCCAAAAGGTGTCAACAGTTTGTTGTCAAAATACTTGTGTTTCCAAAGATTTTTGTAGGGCTGTAAATTAATGCCTAGTGTAGGTGCCTCCAAAGTTGGCTGCCACAATTCCTCCTTTCCAGGGCCTCCCCATCCCCACCTAGAGCCTGTTTCCCCTCCCACTGAACCTGAGCTTCCCGTCTACTTCCTTGGCCAACATAATGTGGTAGAAGTGATGTCCCAGTAGCCACCATGTACCTGTGCCAGCCCACCTTGAGACCCAGGCCTTTTACTACCTCTTACTCGAGAAAACTCCATGGCTTCTACAAAAAGGATTAACAATTCTGGATTTGCGGGGAGGAAAAGGAATCTCATTAAATGAAGCCCCCTAAGGCACCCAACAGAGACACATGTGTGTAAAAATCTGTGAACACTGGAACAAAAATGAATAAAAAAATCCTTGGGTCCATCAGACTGAAAAGGGAAAATCTAAAACAGGAAGTGAATTCCCATGACACAGAGAAAAAGAAACAAGTCAAATACTAAGGTCTGGATCTAATCAGCTAATTGCCCATCTACAAAGAGAGGCAGACAGGCAGGCAAAGGAGCTGAGCACAGAGCCCCACTTGGGACAGTGGCACCAGTCAATGGAGATCCATTATTTAGGAGATGTCAACAATATTGAGAGAAGGACTTGCAAGTGATGGTCCAGCCTACAGAGACGTTCAGCTTCCCTCTGCTGTGGCCTATTGCTGTGTGTTAAAATCATGGGTTTAAATAAGGCACTCTTCTTTGACTTAGATTCTGAATTATAGCTTTAATCTTCAGGGAAGTATTTCCTGACAAAAGCAGGAGGCTTGGGAGGGCACACTGAGGCTAGGGCATTGCTGTGAATTTCATCTTCTTCTCCAAGGTTGAGCAGTGGTGTTAAGGAACTGTCTCCAAGATCATTTGACTTTCATTTTAGTGCTTCCCTTCAACTTTGCCCCATAGCAGGGTCCCATTCCAACCATTTTCTGTACATCCTAACTCAGTGGCTCTTTTCAAACAAAATATTTGACTTGATAATGACTGTAAATGAAGGATAATTTTCCATGGGAGATATTCCATCAAAATGCAATGAGACAATTCAAAGTTATATTACTTTTCACAAAAATCCATTTCTACTGCCACCAGATTTTTTAAATTGGTACTCTGCTTCCAAGTCTTCAACCTGTTGTTAAATTTGAGTCTAACAAATGCTGTCTTGAAATTGTCAGGGACATAACTAAATTCGTTTTTATTTTGATGGCATCTGTTCTGTCTGCACTGCCATTATTTTGTACTATTATTGTCAAAGGAGCAGAGAATCACAATTTGCCCTCTAACGCAGGAGTCACCAAGCCCCAGGCCACAGACGGACTGTGGTCTGCAAACCCTATTGTGAGCTGCGCGAGTGATGAATCTAGGCTGTGTGTGCTCCTTATGAAAATCTAACTAATGTTTAATGAACTGAGGTGGAAGAGTTTCATCCTGAAATCATCCCAGCCCTACCCTGTTCCATGGAAAAATTGTCTTCCAAGAAACTTCTCCCTGGTGCCAAAAATGATGAGGACTGATGCTCTAACAGGTGAAAAACTGAGCTCTTCAGTGAAGGGGGAGCCAATAAGCCCAGCACTTTCTCTCCCCATCATCTTGCCTCTTTGTTAGACTATTAAAGAATTAACAAGAAAGTTGTTGTATGCCAGCAATCTATAAAGAAATTCAAATAAAGCTTGAAGCGAAATGACTTACTAGAGGGAACTGCAGACAGCAATTCTCTGGCTTACAGTATTCGGGGCCATGGGACCCATATCAACGTCTCTACTTCTCCATCTTTAATGTTTCATGCCATAAAGGGAGGAAATCCAGAATAGAGGGGAGGTTAAGGAACCAACACAGGAAGTATGGCTGAGTGGAAAGAACGGATGTGTTAGAGATAGACACACCTGGGTTCTGCTGTTTACCAGCTGTGTGTACTTATTCAACATTGCTAAGCCTTAGTTCTCTTTTTGGAAAAATAATACCTACTTGCAGAGTTGGTCTGAAAAGTAAATACTTTATTGAAAATAGTCAGCATTCAGTAGATGGAGTTGCCATTATTGTGATAATGATGACTAACATCGAGACTGTGACGCTTTGTTTACCCTCAAATAGCTATAGAATTGTAACCTCTTTATTTTCCAGGTGCTGCCAACATTCTCCGGTTTCTCCCTTCCCTCCCTAACACTTCCTACCCTGCAATATCTGTGTTTATTTTCTCATTTACTAAAGATCACAATGACTTTGAACAAAGTCAACAGAAAGCACATATTTCAAAACACATTTATATTTAGTGGGCTGATCAGTATTGGCTCAAGTTAAAGGCTTCTTATAACATTTCTGAAGGGCAGTTTAGTGATCTACATCAAAAACCTTTAAGCATATATACCATTTGACATGGGTATGCTATTAGGTTGCTGCAAAAGTAATTAATAGTTTAAGGAGTTTATAAGAAAATACTAATGGATATGCACCACGATTATGTTGTAAGACTGATTTCACAGGCTTTCTTACTAATTAGGGTGCCATATTCTTGGTTGTATGAACTGGGACACTTTTGAGATGAAAAGAAAATGCTACTAATCAGAAAACCAGGATACAGCAGGTTTAATGATTCATAGTTATAATTATACCTATGTGCACCGTTAAGCAATAGCGCAAAATGGAAAAAATCTAAGTGTCCAGCAGGGAGGATTTGTAAAATAAAGACTGTGTAAACTTTAAAAAAAGATATTAAAAGAGAAATTTCAGTCATATGAAAACATATGTGTTATATTAATTGAAAAAATCAGGTAACTAATATGCACAGTCTGGTTCTATTAAAAGCGCATACAAGCCTGTATGCATAGTCACTCCCACAATATTGAAAGGCGGATGACACAAAGTAAACAGTGGTTACTCCTGTGTAATGAGAACATGGGCCATTTCTATTCATCTAAATTTTCTAATATTTCTATAACAAACATCATTACAATTGGAATTTCAAAAAAGTATTTATAATTTCTTATAGAGTCATATATTGTTCTATAAAAATCCTGTCTCAAAATGTAACATGTTCTCCAAAGCCTAAGGAAAGTTTTCTAAGTATCTGAGCCTTTCAGGACTGAAATATGTATGCAATGTGTTAAACAAAGCTCAACTTCATGTCAGCACTTGCAATCATTTGCTCACAAATATCAGTAACAAAATTCTTTCTGACATAAGTGACAGAATAATGACCTTAAAATTGCATCCCAATCCAATCCCAGATTCTAGCCTTTGAAAATGGCCCCAAATGTTTCTTTTACCTCCTGGTATATCAAATACTCAAAAGACACTTCTCAATTCTCAAATGGGTGATTATCTTTGTAGACCAATCCATGCCAGGGTGAAACCAGTCTATTTCGTCACCCTTCTTTTCCATTTTCAGCAGAATTCTCTCAACTGCGAAAAAACAGATTTGGAATTACAAATCGACTACTGCCACCACTCTGGGAATCTTGAGGTGATGACCTTATAGAGCACTGACATGAATACATTTGTAAACCTCTGGTCCCTGTGAAATGCCTAAAGTAAAGAAATAAGCTCACACCTCTGAGGCTACTTCCAGCTTAGACGAGTAAGATGCCACACTAAAAAGATAACAGCCTTGTGTTCACTTGACCAGCTGGGAAATTAAATTTCTAATGAAAATGGATACAATTTTTTTAAATAGTGTTTTTCAGTAAAGAAAGTCTCATAGCTCTCT